GAGAGAGAGAGAGAGAGAGAGAGAGAGAACGCAACATACACAAGCTTAGCAAGTCTATACGTGGTCAGTGAAGCGGTCGCGTACACGAGCGAAGAGAAAGAGCGGTCAGCCATTAAGTGTAGCCAAGCGTTAAACGATCAATCCCTATGTCCGATATTTCAATAAGAGGCAGTGTGGCTTCAAAGTATATCCCTCTGCCACCGATGCTCTACTTGTTCTCGATACTCGTCCTCTCTCTGGAAATGTCGTCGTGCTGATTTATTAGCTATCGTTGGGTCGTTAATTCGAAGATAGTACTTGTAAGTCACAACGAATTTTTATCCGTCGTAAAAATCTACATTGAAGAGATAATCAATAAACGTTAACCGAAAAACTAAAAACTCTCGTATACACGAGATTGAATATCCTAAGTTTCAAACTTTCACGCTCGAGCTAAAAAGTCGGCGGATTTATCTAGTTTATAGGCTTTCAAGACCTCGAACATATCCAGTATCAATAATCTAAAAATAACGCAACTGCTGCGCGACGGGAAAAACGGAAAAAACGTAGTCCGTTACCAATACGTGCTTCGCTAGCGACGAGAGAGAATCTGTTGCGAAAACTATCGACGGACAGTTATTGAAAAGGGAACAGCTTAGTTTGTAGTTGCAGTTTGTGGATTAACGTCAGATGTCAGAAATGCCTTGATTCTGCTTTCTCAGTCTCTTCCACGATCGTGATTCCAATGCGTCATTGAAAAAAAAACTCTTCTAACTAACTAATGTAACAGATTTAGAATTATAAAAGAAAACAAAAAAACTCGAAATTGCTAGTACATTGCGATATACTAACTTTCAAATCACTATTGCCAATTGAAAATTCACCTTTGCTCGGCAGTCCTAGCCCGTCAAAGTGCGCCTAGCAAACCGTAACGCGATATTAATCAGCGATAGCCCAGGAGCGAGCATTGATTCTAGGTAAATGGATTGAGTGGGGGTTACGTAGCATGTAGTATGCAAGCTCTTAAACCTTATTTAACGGCCGAGCAAACCATATAGCCTCTCCTCTCGATTGGAAAATTGAGTAGAGAGATGCTGATATTGAATGATGATGCGATTACCGCTGCTGCCTCGTCAAGAATTGGTCTTTTTCCGCGCTTCAAAATTATGTATGTGCGGGCGACGATAAATTGTCTGAAAATGCTTTGTCATGGAATTACAAGCTAGCTTGTGATTTCACGATTTGCTTCCATCTTTCACAGAGAGAAAGTGGAGTACGCGCAATTTTTTTATGACATTGCCCGTTAGTTTAATTTTTTTTTTGGGACGTGGAGTTTGTTAACGAACTTTTTTTGCTTTGTGCGTGAGGATAAAGGAGGGGCAGTTTCTCAAGTTTCACTATACACACCTTACGGTTAATGGTCTAATCCGTTTGCCAAGTTCGCGGTCGGTCGGTAGAGTTTACCTTTAATTAAACTACGGAATAGAGACTGCTGGGAAGACTTTTTACTTGTCTTCGAGACGTTGCCTCTGCTCTCTCTCTCTCTCTTTCTCTCTCTTAAGGATATATAGTGTGTATGTGCGATCGAGTTTACTAATAAAGTTATGACTCCTCATTGTCAATTATTTTACTTTGAAAAATATGGGTCGAAATTGTTTCGGAGAAAAATAAGCTTGTAATATCATTTCGCTATATTCAAGAACCTAATCTAACGCTGCAGCTAGAAAAGTGAAAGTAAAGTTTTTCATCAAACTAAAAAAACCACCTGGCACTAACAAAATAATTTCTTATACAACAGCGTGCAAGGATGACACTCGTAAAGCAAAACAAGAAGGAAAAAAGGTCAGAAGTTGGTCGTTAAACTCTCTTTCTCTCAGCCAACACAGAGGGAAGTGGTTTCCACTGTACCAAAGTTCTCTCTCTCTCTCTCTCTCTCTCTCTCTCTGTCGGTTACAACTTAAGTCTCTTCATTAAGCGAGCTTCATCGTCTGACGTTAGCTTTCGCACACGAGGCTAATCCAGTCAGAGAGGGAGGGAGAGAGAGAGAGATAGAGAGAGAGAGAGAGAGAGAGAGAGAGAGAGAGAGAGAGAGAGTGATAACGGAAAAACCCTAATCACGTTATTATGTCTGAATGGTTGAGAGAGGTCAAAGTTGTGAGAGTTCAAATTGAAAATTGTGCATTAAAACTCTTACGCTCGAGTTGAGAGGTTAATTGAATGGTGTTCAAGTGTCACTTTGCGTTTAACCCTTTGAAAGGATATTTCATCGATGATTTATTAGTTTTCGAAATTATTATGACGACGACGATTCGTCTGAATCGTTCTATTTTTCGTACGTGTTGTAACATACAAATCAAAACAAAATTTTTGCTATGTGAGATATTTTTCTAGGCAAAATAATTTTCGTTAATAATGAAAGCTGTTACTCTAAATGAATTCAAATTACGTTGCTCGCGTACGTGAACATATCCTTTATTAAATTGAATTTAATTAAAGCCATTCAAGCGTTAATTGTATTCTGTTGACGATATCTTTAATTAAGTTGATGTGGCATATTGTTCGACTGGCTATATGCGAAATTCATATCGTTATTGTGGTATACTATCAGTGCGAAAGTGTTACGGTCACATAGCATTTTTGAAGCACCTGCATAAGGCAACCCATCGTACACATGATCATTTCAGATTAGAATAATCAAAGATCAGGTGCGAATAGATTAGTATATCTACATATGTTGTTGTTGGCGATCAAATCTATTACCATGTATGGAACATGACGTCATAACCATCGTCAGGTACAGATATATCCATTATGAAAATATTTTACTCAATGATTTTATTTGTTTCTATGATATCTCAAAAGTTATATATGCTTAATATAATGTAGTGCAGATAATAGAGATATCGAAATATCACAAAATAGCAAAAAGTTGAATAAAAAGTCCACGGTATGATTATACGTTAAATAGTTATCGGAAAAACACAACAATTATTTTAACAAAAAATATGTATTTATACTAAAAATTGTCATACGTTGATAATCGGAAAATAGATTTCAAACCAAATGGCCTAAGAAATTATGTATAAATACACCTCGCTGACTGCAGAAAACCCAGTTGTAATTTTGCTATCAGTCGTTTACTACTGAGAAATCTCTCTGAAGCTCGGCAAGGCACCGAAAGATTAATAAACTCAGCTGAATTCCTTGGACGATTTTTTGATTAAATGAACTATGCTCAGCAAACTGTTCCTTTACCTAAGAAATCTTAGAGTTTCATCTCTTGAGGATTAAGTCCCTCTTCAGCAAAAAGTGGATCTTAGATTGTTACCCTTTAACTGTGATAAGAGTTTTAATTTTATTATGTGACAAAGCTATCAGACCTATATCCATGATAACGTCGACTATATTAAGTCATATTTCAATTGATCCCCACAAATTAGACTAAGTAAAATTAGTAAATTTCTTGAAAACAAATTAAAGTTATATTGTAGGAGTAGAATTCAAATTTTTACTGAGTAAAATGATAGAATATTTCCCTTAAATTTTTACGTATATCAGTTGAGTAAAATTGTAGTAACTTTCATTTGTATTTATTTTATTTGATGATAGAATATTTCATGTTAAAAAACTCGCATTTTCTAAAATTTTCACGAAGAATTTTCATTTCGAAGGGCAGGTACGAAAGGGGATAAGCTCATTTAGAGTATTGGTTACTACTAGCTTTCGTAGCGTAAATGAGAAAGCTCACCGTACAAAGCTTTGAAATCGAATAGGGTAACCTGGGCAAAAACTTTCCGTAATAACCTTTTTAGAATCATTATCATTATACATATATTATTTCCGTATTAACCTACTTATTATATATTATTACCGTAATAACCTTTTTAGAATCATTATCATTATCATATAATCATTATACGAATTTTAGAATTAAAAATCATTATCACTGCAAGTTTTCTTTTTTTTCCATGACTTACAATGGTATTTGAATTCAATTAATTATTATATTATTATATGATTTACACTCCGCTTTAACATAAAATGTACCATTTTGATCAGCCGAGTATGATATTTTTCATTCTGATTTTGAAATTAAATTTATAGAGGAAGATTTATTAAAATTCGAATTCGTACGTAAAACTAAATTAGATTATTTTTCTGCAAAAAAGTATCTTTTCTCTTATTTAGCTTGTCAATTCGCCTGTAAGACTAGTAGTCGTAAAATGCTCAACACGAGAAAATGATGTCGCCAGCAAGTATTTCGTCGTAAAGTCACGGCAGCATGCATTGGAAATACGAAAATCCGCCAAGCTCTCTGTCGCTTTCTCGTCTCCTCCACACGAGTATTACCTTTGCTGCGCGACGACGACGTCTGACTCGACGACTTGACCCGTAAAACGTCGCATATCGCCGTTAGCAGTCAAAGGACGAATCGCGAATGTCGCGTGCGACGTCGAAAGAAAGGACCAAAAAATTTACATTTTGCTCTCTTTCGTTCACGATTCTTTGAGAAAAGAATAAAGGCGAGAATTCCGTTTACGAGATAGAGGTGCTCGCGTGTGTGTGTGTGTGTTTGAGGACATTCTTGCAAGCTGCATCTCGCTTTGAGTTTCTTTTCTTTTTTTGTTGTGAAAATATTTATACGAATACACGTCGCTTCCAAATATTTATTCAATAAATATATTAAATCGTGCGAACGTCACAGTGACATAAAACACTCCTCCCTCGAAATTCACATTTTATCTCCGTTTTCTAAATTTGCTCGATCAGCTGTAAACTCTGTGCAATCAAACAACAGAGCTACATACAACTGCAGAACTGAAACTAGCGAAACTTAAGCAAAGAATGCAAAGCGATAAAACTTGCTCGCGTGCGCCCCGCGAAGCGAACTTCGCGATAAAAACTAAACGATAATATAGAGAGGTAAACAATTGAGTCGAGCGCATAATGCGGATGCGTGTTTGCTTTTGCTCAGTGCCAATTCGTTCGAAAACTCAATTTTTCTCTCGTTTCTGTTGCAGGCGGAGAATTGTATAGCATCGTACGAGCCACACGGTTACTGTGTGGTTTACTCCATCACTGATCGCCACTCGGTGCGCATTGCCGAGGAATGCCTCTTGTCACTTTGGCGGAGCGACCATATACCTGCCAGAGCAATCATTCTTGTTGGGAACAAGGTAGATCTGGCTCGTAGTCGTCTTGTTTCTACCGAGGGTAAGTTCGTTTGTGAAGATCTTTGACCAATCCAATAATTATGAACAAAGTTATTTCGCTGGAGCAAAGCCTTCTTATAATTAGGAGGCAATTATTTTGAAGAATTCTAGTGATAACGAGATGATGCCTTCTGTTAAAAAGTTACGCATACTATTAAAAAATGAAATGTAATTTGGCCGTCTTTCGTGAATCATGTTTCAGAGGGTAAGAACTTAGCAGTGACCTACGACTGCAAGTTCATCGAGACATCCGTAGGAATAAATCACAACGTGGACGAGCTATTGGTGGGTTTGCTCACTCAAATCCGTCTAAAATTAGAAAATCCCGAGCGCAGTCGCGACCTATTCAGACGACGCTCGCGACGCAACCGAAGTCGCTCGCCATTGGGCTCGTGCTCGGAGACCAACTCGCCCAAGAAGTATCGCGGCAGCCGTACCAGTGCTAGCCTCAAGGTGCGCAATTTACTTGGCAAAGTATGGGCCCGCGACAGCAAGTCCAAAAGCTGCGAAAACTTGCATGTACTCTAAAGTACATTAACACACAGCATACACATTCACACACAGACATACATCTCCAAGACTGACTGCGCGATTATATGTATGAGTGAGTTTTAGACCACCACGCGGTACGTGGAATCGATCCTGCGTGTATATATAATGCGTGTGTGATGTAAGTAGATTTTGTTTTAGAGAAACGAGCATACGTATAGTTAGATTTTTTTCCAGAGTTATACGATATATTTTTTATGGCATCTTTGCGCGCTGGAAAATGCTAGTTGTTTAATGTTTGGGCAGTGGTTTCGTCATGAGAAAGTAAATTTAAAGCCTTTAATATGCGATACACACTTTGTCTAGACGATATTACAACTGTTGCAGAGACGAGAGATACAAAGTTCGAAATGTAATTGATGTACAAAACTAGTATTGAAAGAGATATATTCTATTCTAGACGCGGAGGATTCAACAAGTTCGAGTAAAAAAAGTGAGATAGTGACGTATAGAGATAAAGATAATAGTACATAAGGAAATGATATGCGGGCGTATTTGCCTTGGGTTGTTACCATAAACCTTCTTCAAAACGTGTTTATTGTAAAACCAAAAGAAAATATTTTACGTTCGATACCGATAAACGTGTATTCCTAATTAGTTTTATCATGCATAAAACCTACATAGTAGTATATAGTCATTGAACTATCGTTCAAAATACATAGAAAATCTACGATCTATCTTTCGGAATTCTCTGAAATGTAAAGAACAAACATTCATTCGTTACATTAGACGCACAAAACCCTATTATAACTTGATACAAACATTATTTTTTCTACGTCATATATATCTTTATACTGTAATTTCACTCTGTATTCGCAGAATATCCATATTTTTCTATACACTGTGAACAAACCTCAAGCCAGAAAGTATCACTGACAAAGCCATATAGACACGCAACAGAGATTCGAAAGTTTTCCGAATCCCTTGAAAGTATATAAACGCAGAATCGATTCCAATTCGCTTGTCGTCGATATTTTACGCACGACAAACAACAACCAAAATGATATGTAGGTATATGTATAGACAGTGCGCATGCTTGCCTCGTCTGAAGAAAAAATCAGAGTATGGAGTGTCGTTAAATTTTAATCGGTGTGCAAGTGTGCGCGAACGATAAATGCAAAAATCGCTGCCACGTATAGCGGAAAGAAACTGTTTTAGTTCCAAGTTTTCAATGCAGGGCTATAGTTGGTTTTTTTTCACGAGAAAATTACCTTGCTCGCTACACTACATGGCAGATCTTTTTTCTCGACCTTGACTCGTTGCACGGACGTATATATACGATATTTTCTTTTAGTTCTTATTATTCTTTCGTTCCTGTGTGCGGCACCGTACAGGTTCCTTTCATCTTTAGGATGATGCGTTATCAAAGCATAAAAAAGTTTCACGCTTGTATTTCGCTTTAGTTTTTCAAACGCCTCCGATACTTAGTACAATATTCTTTGAAAAATCATTTACATTGTTTGACAAATTGTCTCACCATCATAGTTTTTGTTTTGAGGCAAAACAAAAAATAAAAAATCAAAAAAAAACTGTTGCCAGTAAAAGTAAAGTGTGATGATGCTAGATGCTAGAAAACGTTGTCAAGGAAATTGCTATTTAAGTAAATATGTTGAAGTTGCTTGATTCTTTGCACTTCCGATACGTATATACGCTCGAAAAGTATAAAGTATATTATAGGTGCTACTATAGTTACAATAGAATTATATTTATTCATGTGTGTAAGAGCGAGTGAAGCAAAAAGTGCCATATGATTGCACTCGATTAGATTATAAAACTTGGCGAGTAAAATTCCTTGTGTGCTTTTTTTTAATGAAAAACAAACCATATAGAACGTTCATCGTAATTTTAGTGGAACTTCCTTCGAAACTCTCTTTGTCATTGTAAAATATAGAAGATAGATTTAAAATCAAGACATACATATATGCGTGAGATTTATGACGAAATTATTTGAAGAAAGAAAAAGAAGTTTGTCAAAAAATAAATTAAAAACATTTTTCAAGAAATTAAAACGATGACCATGTATGAATTTACACAATTTTTTACATTACGATTTTATACGTTGAATTAAAAGTTATAATACAATTAAAAAAAAAGAAAATCAAGCCCGTGGTAAAAGTTACGCGAGAGGCTAAGAAAAAAAATATATATAATATATTATAAATTGAACAAAGCGACTTAATCAAGCGTATTTGTTTAATAAAATAAATAAGCATGTGAATAACGTTTGAAGAAAACTTTGACCATTAAGAACAAAGATAATTTTAGCCAATACGATATAATACATTTCACGTAATATTCAAACGTAAAATGATATTTATTTACTTTGTTTCATTTTAAAAAGAAAAAATTATTTATTGATTTCTTCTCGTTAAAATTAGAGGAGAATACATATCATCAATTTTGATTATGACGAAAAAAGAAATTATTAATAATACATTTGAAAGCTACAAATCTTTACTGGATTTTTTTGTCGCTTTGATCGGAGAAAACGAAATGTTCATTAAATGATAGGAGACAGTTTTAGTAATAGAAAAATGTCGATGTACTGTACTCGTGTTAGCTTTGTCACACATCCACCCAATGGAATAAAAGTCATGTAAAATTTATTCCAGCGACGAGCGATGGATTAATTTTTTGCATGTGTAATTTTCGAATATAATATTGCGATATGATTACTAGATTGACGCGGGCTTACAGCTGAATCGTCGATTTTCCGAGTTGAGTTCTATTGTAAATACAATATATTAAGATTGGCAATGTCATTTTTTGATACGAATACTAAATTATAATAATAATATACTGAAAAATGAAACTTCGAATTACGTATATTATTCTTTTATATTGAAAAAAATGTTACTACTTTTTAATGTTGGAAAATCTTGAAAAAAAGAAGAAAATCAAAATAAAATTAGATACGAAAAACAATGAAGCAAGAATGGTCTACAAATCATTTGATTGCTTGCAACGATTTGATCGAGCCTGAATATTCCAGTTTCCTTCTTAAGCGATGTAATGAATCGGAAAATAAGACGATTCCTCGTTATATTTCCTGAAAGCCCAAGTACAACGTAGTTAAGAGTAAAATGAAAAAAACGCGAAAGTAGAACTAAAAAAACGGGGCGCGAATTGGTCAAGAGTTATAATTATATTAAACTCCTCCATCAAAACGATATAATAACAAGATAAGAGCAAATCCTAGATGAATATACATTATTACTATTACTATTATTATTATTATTATTATTATTATTATTATTATTATTATTATTATTATTCCAATCCGCTCACATAAACACACACCCACACACACACATACATGCTCGAACGACTGGGTACGCGGTCCATTAGCGAATAATTATCGAAGGCGTTAGAGCCAAACGCTCTCGATAATTCCCCATTGAAATATCGTTGATGAAACAAGTAGGCCGAGGACGCTGGGGTTTCGTGCACCAATACACATATGCATATATTCGTTGCTGCGCGCACAATTAATCGAACGCCAAAGTGCTTAATTTAACTTCTACGTTTAGTCGAAAAGCACTCCTCACCTAAAATTATTGAATAAATGAATTTTTTTATACAAGTGCTTTATAATATTGCTGCAAGAAAAATTGTGAAATTCAAATGCCGTGGCTCATGGAATTATATTTTCATTGTGTGCAATCGGTATTAAACGAGGTAAATTGCATAGCGTACATAATTCAATATTTCGATTACCATTTCAGAAACCTTGGAAAAGCATTACATTAATAAAAATGTAAGGCTATATTAATGAAAGAAGATTATATTATCGGACTCGCTGAGCGAAGAATTGCACTCTGCATTCGAACGGCGAGCATTTGAATAATCAAACTAATGTTTCCATGAAATTTTACCATTGGAAAACCGGTACGCAAAATTTGAATGTTTAATGCACAAGTCGCCGCAAATAAATAACTCTTTATCTTACCTGAAACTCATACTTTACATGGTAGAAATAAATATTTTTGCGTGGACCGTCTTATCCTTTTTTAAAGTGGTGAAAAAAAGTATGTACTTTTAACTAAGTTTATTGCAAATCAAGAGATATAGATAAAAGTTTACCCTTTCAAACTAAAGCTGTTGTTTGTCGGTATTCAAAAACGCTCGACCTACATTCTTTTTTTCGCAAAAGAGAAACATTAAACTTTTTATTGACCTCGAAAGATCACAGGTAACATTTTCTCTTTCCTTTATAGCGTTATCATATTGTCGACACAATGCTACGCGTGAAAACAAAAGGTAAAAATTGTTAGTGTCGCGAAACGACCTGTGAGCTACACGCTATAGGTGTAGGTGTACCGCCGTTACCTAGCAGCAGCGGCTCGCAAAAGTGCGGTCACGTACACTTCTTATCGCCGCAGCAGCTGACTTTGGTTTAATACTGTGACCGACGCTCCTACTGTTACTAATGGTTTTCCTATGACGAAACTTTTGTTTCATGTGTCACAAAATAGATCTGTAATTCTGTAAATTCATACACAATGATTACTTTATTCGCATATACAATGGATTAAATTTAAAATTCTCTTAGGTAAATGGTTTTTAATACGATCGAAAACGTTAATGGATTATTTATAAAAAAGGTGATATATAGTGAAATGAATTACAAATGAATAATCATGAATTTAATGACAGCTTTTGAAGCGTTAACTCTGCCAACGGCATCATTGGAGAAGCGCTCAATGTCACATCTCTCTTATTTGTAATTAAAAATTTGACAAACGTCAGTTTATCCGAAAAAGAAGAAAAACGTTTATAAATACCTGACATTATGAAAGGTCAATTGCATTTTGATGAACGCGTAATAATACCAAAATCGGGTTGAATTTTAAAATTCAATACGTTAAAAAATATAACAAGAGCATTCACGAGCTTTTTCTCACAGTCGAGAAATATATACACACATTATCCTGCTTTATTTTGCATACATTATTACTTATTTTGAATACATTACTATTTATTTTGAATACATGCATGAACATCACTACAAGCGTTTGCAAACAGTGAGCTATACAGTTATTGTTTTTCTTCGTGCACTTTATCAATATATTTAATCTTCTCGTTATTCAAAACATTGCACTTGGAATGAAATAGAAAGAAGTGATAAATTGCTACATTACAAATTCTTAACTACTGAGTACTGAAAAAATTACCTGCTGTTCAGAAAAATATTGAAAATTTTTAACTAAAGTATCATTTCAAGAAAGTACTCTATTAAATTAATAATTCGATACATAATGAAAGTAATATTAGTACATGTGTATAAATTTAAAAGACTAATCTATTTAATGAAATTAAATAATACTTTAGCATAAATTATCTTCATACGAATGTTTATGTGCGGTCAATCTATAAACTTTGAAATACCACAAGGGACCAATGACTGTAAAGCTTAGCGCATGGATATCTTTCTCAATCAAAAGTTTGACAATATATATCAACCACTAGATTAATACTGAAAACAATGACGAGGCAGCTAACAATTAAAAAAAAAATTTGACTCCGAAAAAAACAATCGTGTTCAATCCGGCTAGTAACGATCCAGTGCTAACGAATTTCCAGTCTCGTGCAGATAAAAATAACAAAGCCGACATATTCACACACTCACGCACAGACACACACACACACCTGCACACACATACACACACATACATCTATCCATTGAAAAGAAAAAAAAGATGCGAGCGGAGTGCCCATATTTATTTTTTTTTGCCCTTGCGGAGACCAATATTGTATATTCCTAGTCGCACAGTCGCGCGATTTTGTCGAGCATTCGATTTTATTGCGGTACACGAAACGAAAAGTCAAGCTCTCATCAATTACGAACCAAGCGACGAAGCAGCAATTGCTCTTGTTCTACTTTTTTTTTATTCACGTTGTTGTTTTACCTTCTCGCTCCTTTTTTTCACGAGAGTGAAGTTCGAGATTGGTTCTCTTCGCGTCTCGGAACATTTATATCTCTACCCTTTTTCTCTCTATCTCTTTCTATCTATCTCGCGCTGATGTGATCCCTTTTCGACGAAGTGACGCGCACACGTACTTATAAAGTAATTAAAATCTGGTTTAGTTACAGTCACAAGGAAATACCAATTTTTAGATTGCCGCGGAAATGTACACAAATCATTGTGATAATGATCAGGTGCACAAAAGTGATTGTATTATCGTCTACGCTTCCTCAAGCGACTAACACTTCCCCTATATATTTTATGAATTTGCAGGCAAAACAAAAAGTTTGATTTAACAAAGACAACAAACATTGCTCGTTGAACAATCGTACGGTGTCGCTCGAAGAAGGGATAGATGATTTTACTTGAATGTTCAATAAATTACTCTGTCAAGTACTAAAACGATATATATTTTTATAAGTAAAAACTGATGAACGTCGTGTCAAAAAGGGATAAACAAGGCGGAAATTTCTTCTTCCCATTATTTACCAATGGGATTCTTATAGCTGTATTCAGAAAAACTAATAAAAAGTTTTTCATAAGTATACAAGTGCAAGCTTCGACCAATGCAACAGATATCTATAGAGAGGCCGAAAAGAACATAATTTAAGAGAACGCAGGGTTGTTTTACCGAAAAATGGGAAACCATTGTTAAGAATCACTTTCAAATATTTGAGAATATAACACTTATTTAAAAATTACGAAATTCGCGAAACGATGGACGTTAACAAAATAGTGTCACATAACGCGATACGAATAATAGTGACTTTTCGGAAAAAAAACCTCTTCATACGAAGTAAAAATAAAAACAATTTTTGAATTAATCGTTCGTTAGAGAAAAAAAAATACAATGGTGAGTGGATCAAGTAGTTGATATACTTCATAACCTTTAAAAAGAAGAAACCTTTCGGACATTTACAGACGTGAAGCTGAAGAGAAGAACGTAAGATGAGTGAAGTGAAAAAAAGGAAATGAAAAACGCGAAGAATAAAACAGAGCATAGGTGTACTAGAGAGAAAAGTCGCTACAGACCTTTTCGTTTTTATTTGCTTTTTTTGCAGCCGTTATATACGCATACATACACACGTATATGTGCCATGCCGTCATTTTCGTCGTTTATACCCCTGGGAGATTTTTCCACGATGACCAACCCCTCAAAGGTGTATAGAGTTGCTAGACGAAAGTAGCGAAAAATGCGTCAAGAGAGTCGAGTCCGTTGTTTCATCTTCTTTCTTTCTCTTTTTTGTTCCTTTTGTCGTCTTATATATACGACATGTACGCTGTATTGTTGAAAAGTTTGATTGATATGGTTCTCGTAAGAATTATTAGATATCGCTATAGAATTGAGTATCTATATCTTTATAGGTAAGTTTTTGTGATACATGCTTTTTTTACTCGATTATAAAATAAGTTCATTGGTAGTTGTAATGTTAAACCAAATTGCATTGTGTTTTCTATATGTAACCTTGAAATAATTTTTTTTGAGGAATTGAAAAGCCATATTCTATGAAAGTATCTCATAGAAATATAAGAAATCTGAACAAATTGTTGATTTTGGAGAAAAGATCACACGCGTATGATGGTATCTCGATGGATAATCAAACTGCGCTACACTGTTGTATTTGAAATCGTAAACGCTGCGTTTCCTTTATTATTAAACGTTGTACTGTATTGAAAATGCTTAAAAAGCATGCTTTCAACAGTTTTGCGTGTGCATGTGTGTGCATAAATTCGGTATGACTGCGCGATTGATAGTTGATCAACTGTACGGATACACGAATGAGTATACCAAGCAGACAAACTGTGAGAGACCAGTTGGAATTAATAAATGGTAATAAATAATACAAAAAAAAATATTATTTGTTTGTCTTTCACTATTCCTATCTTTTTCCTTCCCTTATATATATATATTATAATTATGATATTTATTTTTAATACTGCGATAAACCAGTGAATTCATGGAACCTCATTCTTCGTTGTTTTCGAAGCTCTCATATGTAGAATTCATTCCGGAAAGGTAAGTGTAATAGAGAAAAATGCAATTTTTAAATATTGTTAATCAGAAATTGATTTTCTATGGAAAAGTGTATCTTATTTTGTTTCAATTAAAAAAAAAAGTTATATTTGTTACTTTTATTTATTATATTTTTTGGACACATTATATAGAAAGGCCATTATTTGGTATAATATTTGTGTTTATTATTATAAGGCAAGACAAAATCGTTAGTGATGGAAATAACCGAGCACGAAATTTCGTTTATTTTTCGCTTGTAATGCACGCGATACATCATTGTCGTTACATTTATAAAATATTGTTTTTTGTTGAAAAGAAAATACTTATGAAATCAGTTCCAGTTGTTTGAAATATCATTGTCAGTGGCAGTATTGCTGACTCAAAGGCTTCCAGTCGAATTGAAATTTCAATAAATGTTCATGTCAGGAGCAAAACTCCTGACCACAAAATTTTGTCGCAGCTGACGTTAACATTATACATTTTTCACGATCAAAAACGACGCGTCGAGCAAGGACAATTTTTTTCACGATCACAGCGAGATTTTCCATACTTTAATAGCCTCGTTCCGGTTACGGTCAACTTCATTAAAAATCCGCGTATTTGACTGTGTGAATATAGAACGACCATAACACATGGATGCCGAGGAAAATTCATTGCGGATAAAACATTTCTCACGCACATACAGAGATCACTGAATTCACTCTCTCCTATTTTCTATCATCTTCGTTCTCTTGAATCACTCACTTTTGATGATTACCAACTAATGATGAATTCTTTTATATTTTCGAATTTTGTGGTCGTCTAAAATGTGATTTTTGAATTTTCGATCTATAAAATGTTTCCTCTACGTTGGTAAAATTTATTTAAAAAATGAATTAACTGTTAAGTTGCATGCATTGCCATACGTTTGCGTTTTATAATATTTATGATGTGAATTTAAAGCCAGCTTTCGAAATTTAGTACCAAAATTAATTGCAAAATCGTTTTAACTTTTCATTTGTCAATGTATAATTTTATTGAAAAGAAACATTCCTAATAAATTAAAAAAACCATCTGTTGAAACAAATATTTTACGATACCTGACGTGATGACAGTGCATTAAATAAAAATCATAAACTAAAAATAATTTTCATGTAACAAGATTGCAAAACCTATGCTTCATCCGTGTCTATTTGAAGAAAAAGCCACAGAAGCATAGAAAATGAGAGTAAAGTAAAAACGAGAATGGAAAGTTAGCGTCGGAAAAAAGAAGAGGCGTGCTTATCTAAATAGTTCATTCGATCATGCATGCGAGATTAGACACTGAAATAGTCTTGGAGAATAACGTAGGATTACTCAAGGATGTCTGTTTTGCACGTGATGGTACGACGAAAAAGTTAATTGAGTTGTGCGGAAGCTTATATTTTGCAACGTGATAACGAATACATGAATTTCGGAAAATCTGTTCGCTATAGGTTGTCATAGAGGGGATTCGGATAATTTGAGTAAGAAAAGATAATTTTTTTAGGCAAATAAATCAGTGAAAACGATTTATTTGCGTCAATGTTCAGTCAACATAATTCCACAGAAGGTAATGAAAATTAATGCTGTATAAGAAAAATTTTTACAGATAAATGAGTGCCTTCAACACTTGAGAAGTAACTCGAATAAAAAACTATAAATCTCTACGAAAATTTACGTTTCATTCTTTTTCAATGAGAATAAGAACATGATGTAAATTTGTTTATCTTGAAAACTTATCGATGAAATTGATTGATAAAAAGATAACTTAATTTCAAGTTTTATTTAATTGTATAGAAATTCTATCATACAGAGCTTTTAAAAATTCTTTGAAACAAAATACTATGATAAGCAAGTGCCTAAGCAAGTGCGCCATCGGAAATGTAGATTACTGAACCAATAAACACCCACTAATAGATTCATCTCGCGTGAAAAGTCTATCGTTTAAAATGTACAAGTGGATCTGTTGTGTGGCTTCACTCAATCAAAAAAACGCAGGTGTGCAACAATACAACTCGTCTTTTTTCCCCGAACAGCAAGGAGATCGCGTGACGTTTGAACATAACCGCGCAGACGAGCGGGAAATTGAAAGGAAGACAAATAGATCGGATGAGATAGATGTCGAGAGAGGAAAAAAATTGAGCGGCTATCGCGTGAACGAGCCGATAGATAGGATATTTCCTCTATTAATTGAGATAGTACGTTATTAAGTGCTATATTTTATTATTAACAAGTTTTAGATTGGATTAATATATAAAATGTATTGCTCAACTCGAGTATCTTTTTTTTAAATATAAAAATTAAAATAAATTTATAGTCGATGTCAGCTTTATACCAAATGTTTACGTATTGAAGTAATTAAATTTTTTGAGTCGCAAACTATATTCTATATCAACATTCGTAAAATCAACATACATTCAAAGTAAATTGAAAATGGAAATGAATAAAATAAATTACGCCCAAAAAAGAACGAAATAGATAGAAAATAAATTTTAAAAAATAGTACATCGTATCGTAAAATAGATTTCAGTTAGATAAAAATATAGTTAATGAAAATAAATTACGATGGGAAGAATTCGGCTTTAGACCTCGTATAAACTCCTATCCAGAGCAATGGTGAAGTTGAACGATTTTATACTATGCCTAACTTACCTTTTTCGAATATGAATCGATAAACATTATAGTTGTATTGTATACATTTCTTAGAACGAATGACATATAAACATACTATAAAATCAACGATCATCAAAAAAAGTTTGATACTTTTTTTATAAAAAATGAAACATGGTTTTGTAAGAATACATGAATAGATATAAACATCGATGTTTTAATGTTTAAACTTATTTAAAATTCTTGCTACTACATACAATTTTTTATGTCGTTGTAATGACAGTAAATAAAATATTGATTATCGTGGCAGTAATTTTTCGTATTTTGCATTAACAGTTCCGTCAATCGCTATCTGAAGCATTTTAATCAGTAATTTTGAAATAACAGATAGGACGTTTGCTCATTTACGCATTTACTATTTTGAGAAATTTTTCAAAGAAAATTGCTTGTAACAAGTGAAATACAGCAACGTAGCAGGTAAAAGCATCTATATACACTGAGTATGAGAAACGCAGGCATGCGAAACGGTGAAAACGATCGAATTCAACATTTCATTTTCCTCGCGCGTAGAGCAATTTTTTTGTTTTTTACTTTTTTCCACGCGCCGTGAAATTTGTAGATCCATTTGTTGTGCGTCACTCTGAAACTAGACATTTTGATGGCTAGCGCACGCGGTCCGACGAGGATCCTGATGAATTGCAGAGAAATTTCTATGATTAAGGTTTCGCTACCTTCAAGATGAAATGTATTAATCAACATATAAACTAACGAAAAATTAAATTGAATTGCATATTCAAACAAAGCAATATTTTATTATTTCTCAATTATTACAGGATAAAATTCACGGTGTTCGACATTTTCATCGAATAAATTTATTTTATTTTATTTCGCATGAAGTTCTTCCAACTGTAAAGGAGTCTGAAAACAATTAATTTAATCTCTGCCAAAAGAAACCATATAAACCGATAAAAACACTGGTATCAATGTTTAATTGTTGTTCAAAGCATTATGAAATTAACCGCAAGCACCACACAAGATTACGTAACTCTGATACTAAAAATCAGAAAAGAGCGAAAATCTCGAACTCCCTTGGCACTTCGCGCATAAACTAGGAGTTCAAAAACAAGGCTGCATTTTCCATGCAAACGGTAGTTCAACGGGCGGAGGGCATTAAGCTTGTACATATAATAGCGTAAAGGAATGCAAAACATTCTTATTTATTGATGCAGTAATCGACAGAGGACATATAGTAAATTATGTTTAATACGATGCATAAGATTTCTTTTATTTATATATTGTTATTTGGTTTCGTTATTGGATTTGTATTTTTAGTAATGTTTATTTGAAGATTTATTGATGAAATTTCATATTTATTATGTGATCAATTGCAGTGAAAATATCAAGTAATGTAATGATTATTCTATTTTTCGAAAAGTAACGACAAATCAAACATACGTTACTATATTAAATATGGATTATAATAATAACAATATTACAATAATAACTTGTTCTATTCGATATAATACAAAATGTCGTAATAACGTTCAATTCAAAGAGAACGTAGGTTCACTGGGTATGGTTCGAATCGCAACAGCTACAGAGTGTATATACTAGGGCGAGCAAATCTAGAATTGTCTGCTCCCATGAGCTTTCAAGCCGTTGATATCAGTCTTGATGAATGTCAAAGATGACGGGCAATAACATTGGTTGCTCTCTATCCGTTCTATCGAACTTACGAATTTGTGTCGATCAATGTGATCTTTCTTGCTGTATAAAGCACTGAAAACCGTTTGAACAAAGATTGGAATTAATACAATTTCATGACTGTATTGCATAAATTACAATTAAAAAATTCTTTTTTAAATCATACATTCAGTGCGAAAATCAGACTAAAGCATCCGTCATTCACGACAGGCACGTACGCGTAATTATGATTGTGCCACTGCATCATTGTCAACTTGATTAATGCGAAACGAGTAAAATGACACTATGAATACGCTCTTGCTTTCTACGTGACGATCCATTAGTAAAGCCCAAACTTTCCGTAACATTTTCTATGGTAGAATACTTTTAAAAAAAACTCAACTGAGTATCTTGTAAATCAACATAGCGAGGCCTAAAAATTTAAAGTATTGAAAAAATATAATACTGCATGTATGCATACATAAATTAATTTTTCTTCGTATTTTTTCAATGATAAACATTGT